GCCTGGAAATAAGTCTGGCGGTGATCGCTCATCATTAGAGACCCACGTGCGGAAAAGGGAAGCTCCGTATCTTATTTATCTTCTGCTTAGTTTCCTTTAATCCCAAGCGGGACATAGGGCATCAGCTAAGTCTGCGCGCCATCTGGTTTGGTTTCTGGCAATCGCTTTGAGCTTCTTCCAGATTAACCCTAGCTTCTTCGCCTCTTGATCGACTGTTCTTCTTCATGTTTTGCGCGGTCCGCTGGGAGGCCTTCATCTTTCGAATAGGTCATTCCATTGTAAGGCCTTATTTACAATACTGCCACCTTCTTTGCACAATGTGTGGCCTATCCGTTTCCATTACAGTCTTCGAATCCACATTTCAAGGAGCTTCGTGCTAGCCTTTCTAAGCAACTTCTCTTTTTCGATTGTTTTAGCCCAACAAATTCAGATACTCGAAGACATCTTTTTAGTAAAACTTGCGGGCGCTTGGTTATTGCAATAATGACATAAAATTTTTTTATTGACGCCCTCATAAATTTACGCGCCGCAAGCGCTCCAATCTCCACTTAATCACTTTAATTCAATCTCTCAAACGTAAAAGGCTCAAAGCAAAAGCGCCTAAAAATATGCAATTATTTTAAATTTGAAAATACAACTAAAAAGCCAAGGCTCGTTCGGTGGAGGCTCTTTGCGGCAGANCTCCACTTAATCTCTTTAATTCAATCTCTCAAACGTAAAAGGCTCAAAGCAAAAGCGCCTAAAAATATGCAATTATTTTAAATTTGAAAATACAACTAAAAAGCCAAGGCTCGTTCGGTGGAGGCTCTTTGTGGCAGACCGACCCCCACCGTATGCCACTAAAGTATTTATGTGCGATTATAATCATAATTAGCTGACATCAGACTCATTAACACGCAAATTTTTCACGCCTGCCATAGAATGGTGCCCCTTAGGATGGGAAGATGGTATTGGGTAACGTAGAAAGCAAACAGGAGAGAGGGTAGCAGCAGTTGGTGAAGTGTGGTGTTCTAATTAGCTGTGCAAACTGACTGAATTGAAGCCCCACGGTCGCTGAACAATCACGCATTGGGCTTTCCACATCATTGCCGCTGTGGCAGTGAGTTGAGGTGCGGAATACTGCACCGCCTGCCCGCCTGCCTGCCTGCATGTTCACAACTGATTGCTGCGGTTTTGCGTACAAATTCAACGCGCTTGTAATTTTAATTGCCTGTCACATTTTTAACACCTTCATGCAGTCGCATGCGTCGGCAAACATATTGGCTATTTGTCAAAAAAGGAAATTTTTCAAATCAGTGCACGAGCATACATTTAGGCGCATTATCAAATAGCGAGAAAAAAATATAAAAAGGCCTAACTGGCGCTCACAACAAACCGCCTAATAAATTGTTCATCCTCATCCATCTGCTGCGTAGTTATGCCAGCTGCCGTCCCTCACATTGCTGCTGCCTCCGACCGCTTCACCAATTTTAATTCATTTAATTGAGCTGCCAATATTTGACCAAAATGTAATTAACAAAGCAGCTTTTGCGGGCCGGTATGGGCGGTAGGCGGCGAAAGTGCTTCCGCGTTTATTGACAGTTATTGCGCTCATATTTGTATTTACCTTTGTAGTTTTGTTTGCCAACACTGGTAGAGCGCTCGCCCGCTCGCTCGTACGCCATTGATTTGTTGTAAATAGCGCTCAGCCATTTTTTTTTTTGCTTGCAACTGTTCTTTGCTTAATTCGCGGCGGTTTAAAATTTTCTATGTGGTCAAAATTTATATTTCGCTTGTAATTGTTTGCAATTCAATTATTTATTTGAATTCTATTGTTTGAGGTGTTCTTTCTTTGATTGCAATTTCGATTGCAAATATTTTCGAATTGAAATGCTTGCAAACAGACATTCTTCCTTGATTTGGAAATTGAATTTTATTTATTTTTTTTTTTTTTTTTAAATTTCCGAAATTTTTCCACGTATGCTTTTTTAAAAAGTTAGTTTTAAAATTTGCTTATTTAAAATTATTAAGCCTTTCAGGACCTAGGGAAACATATCACAAAAAAAATTTACTCCACTCATAATGAAACTGTGTACGGTCAAGAAACTTTAGAAAAATTATGTTTACCAAAATTAGAAAAATTTATCAATGTAAGAATTAAAAAAAAAATAAGGGTAGGTATAGAAAAAAAAGAGATTTTTAATAATTTTTTAGGAAAAAAATTTACCGAAAAAACACAATTTAGCATAAAACAGTTTTTTAGGAATTAAATACAAAAAATTTACCAGACATTACAGACTAATATTTTGTGGAGAAAAAAATATCTTTGCAGTTAAAGTTATTTGTTTCGGAAAAAATAATTTTTGGTAATAGATGATAATTTCGAAAATAAAAAAAATTAAAGGTATAGAAAAAGAGGTTTTAACAATTTTTTTTTTTGTAAAATTTGACCGAAAAATATAATTTAGGAAAAAGCAATTTTTTAAGCAAAATATGTTTACACGAAATAGAAAAAGTATACCAGATATTAGAGACAAATATCTTGTGGAGAAAAAAAAAATTGTTTCAGTAAAAATTATCTATTTATTACGGAAAAAATTATTTTTGGTAATAAAAATTTCGAAAATGATATATTTTTTTAGTAAAATAGGCTAATAGGTAGTTGTTTGGGAAAAAAATTATATTTGGGGAAAAATCAATTTAAGATTTTTACGAGAAAAAAAATGTAGTTAAAAGTACCTTTTTAGTAAAATGATGTCTACCAGAATTATAAAACCATTTACCCTTAAGCATGAAAAAAATATTTTCATCAAAAAATTATTCCTTTGGGAAAAACCAATGTTTGGGAAAATAGTTTTTGGGAAAATAGCATTAAAAGAGAAACCCAGAAAAAAATTTAAAAAAAAATATAAACAAATAAATGTTTTCTCTGAAAATTTAAAATTAGTTAGAAAACAATAGTTTTCAGTTCAAATTAAAAAAAAAAAATTTGGATAAAATTATTTTCTACCTTGATTTTTTATATACATAAATATTTGTTTATTTATATAGTATCATTTCCATGTTGCTCCGATTTAAACAAAGCCCACTTTTTGAGATCGCGAGTGTAGTTAATCTGAATATTCGCTAGTAGTTGACGGAAAGAGAGCTATTACTGCCACGACGACATCATCTGAATATGGAGTAGAATAATGTTAGTCCAACTTCCAGAAGGGATTAAAGATACTTGCTTCGGCTACGGAAATTGCATGGAGAAAAATTATTTATTTCCAATATTATTGTTTCTTTTTCCACGATCGAAACTTTTTTGAGGGTTGCAAAGGGCCCGCTTAGTTGTACTATATCCATGGCCCCTAATGGTTACCCAGGAGTTAAAAATTTTACAAAAATTGCTAAATCCACAAAATGGAAGATCGATTCCACCACAAGAATCAAGAAAAATCTGGTTTCTATTTATAAAAAACTAAACTTTTTTTATTCGATAAGTATTTTGAATTCGAATGGATAAAATCATCATCATGCATCCAAACAAAAGGAAATTAATAACGACGTCTGTAGACGCGACGACGAACAGTCTTGTAACGGTAACCGTCAGGAGCATGATGCTCAATTTCCTCAGTTGGTTCAACAACTGGAGTTGGAGCAACATATTGCACTGCAGCTGGAGCTGGTGCTGGTGCAGGTGGAATGTAAGATGGAGTTGGTACATGGACTGGAGCTGGAGCTGGTGCTGGTGCTGGAGCAGAGTAATGCACTGGAGCAGGTTCTGGAGCTGACACATGGACTGGAGCTGGAGCGGGTGCTGGAGCGGAGTAGTGCACTGGAGCTGGGGCTGGGGCTGGAGCGGAGTAGTGCACGGGAGCTGGGGCTGGGGCTGGAGCGGCATGGTACACTGGAGCTGGTGCTGGTGCTGGGGGAATGTAAGATGGAGCTGGCACATGGACTGGAGCTGGGGCTGGAGCTGGGGCAGCATAGTGCACTGGAGCTGGAGCTGGAGCAGCTACATGAACTGGAGCTGGGGCTGGAGCTGGAGCAGCATAGTGCACTGGTGCGGGGGCTGGAGCTGGAGCGGAGAAGTGCACTGGAGCGGGAGCTGGAGCTGGCACATTAACATGAACTGGGGCTGGTGCATGTGCTGGTGGCACGTAGGTGCGGTCAGGCTGTGCTACGGGTGCGGGTGCGGGGGCTGGGGCAGCAAAAGACACAGGTGCAGGTTGCTCGTAGCTGTAGCCCAATTCTGAGACATCAGCGCTGGCGCAAGCCAAGATGGCAGCAAAGGCAACGAGGAAGAATTTCTGCAAAGACAAGAAATAAGAGTTTTAGAAAGAAAGGAAATTTAAGTATCTATTTAGTACTGCTTCAAAGATAAATATTTTATTGTCAATAGTTAAATTTCAGTGATTCTCGTATAATTACGCTTAAAGTTTCTTTTTTTTTGATTTTTCGAATGCAATAGAAATTTTTGGGAAAGTAAACAAAAATTGTTCTTATTAAATTCGTAAAAAATTATTACATGAACTGAAAAGTACGACCGAAATTACAATATGACGAAAAATTAGGTTTTAATAAAGGTTTTATAATTTTTATTATATTTTTGTTTGAAAATCACGTTTTAACAAACACCGAAAAATTCGGAGTAATTCGGAATAGTCCAAAGTATAAATATTGTGTTCCAAATTTTAGGTTTTGACGAAATTTTGTTAAATTAGTTGAAAACTGAAGCCGAGTACGATTCGAACTTATTCGGAGTTATAAAATATGTTACTTATTTAAGAAAAATATATATATTTTGTTCTTTATTTTTTTATTTAAATGTATTGTATAGCCCTTGCGAAAAAGTTCGCATTGAGCTGGAGCTCGAAATTTTGCATCAAAATTAATTTTTGATTTAGTTAGTGCGTTCCAGAACGTCTACAATTTGCAGGTTTTGCAGGATTTAGCCCAAAGTGGTTCCCGTACGCCACGTTCACATACGGTTTATTAAAAGCGAAAACAGCTGTTCCTGTAAAACCTGCAAATCCTGGAGTGCGGGAACAGGCTAAACGTTACTGTGGCTTGGTTTGATCACAAAAATTAATCCTCCGCTGGTTTTAGCACACTTTACAAAGTTTAACACTTTTATTGTACTCATTTCCACCGTTTTTACACAAATTTTATTTTATTTTTTATATATTATTTTTGTTCTAAGTAATTTACCATTTTGTAAGTTTAGCTAACTCCGTTCACAGCGTGTAAGCGTTTGATTCCTTCTACACCAAATGCTCGGCTTTTATAGCACTGACCACGCATAGTTTTCAAAGTATAATTAGCTTCATCCAAAACCAAAAAAAAAAGAATTAAATTAGCAAAAATTCGAAAGCCAACAAGTTTAGACCTAATTTTACAGATAAAAAAAAACAGTGACGATAATCCGCCAGATGTCTTGAAACCAGTATTTACTAAACCTTAATTGAAAGATGACCAAAAATCAAAGCGGAATTCTCACCTCAGACTCCGGCTCAGACGTAAACAGCACTGGATAAGAATTTATTTACATACATACATACATACATACATACAATATAATAATAAGCAGCCGAAGAATAGTAAAAGAAATATCCACTAAAACCTAAACTAAAGCGGTAAAATATACCATAAACACGCTCTTCCAATATTCAAAGATTAATTGCCTACTTAGTTCGCTAAACTTGATTTTAAACTTAGTATGTAGCATAAAACGTCGCACCGCTTACAATTCAAATCAAACTGCTAACTAATTGAAATTCAAAAAAAGATTTGCCGCTGCTCATCTGCTAAGTTCATCAAACTACCAGCGCTTATGGATGCTTTTGCATCTGCGTTCTGATATCTTAAGACATTTTTACCCAATTTATAAACATACATACATACATGCAAACAAATGTACATATTTGGCCTTTAATTTTGTTTTTTTTCCAACCCACCCAATTTATTGTCGAATTTTACATATGCAGATATTCAAATTTCTATATGAATTTCATTAGCAAAGCAGCAAAACGGGTTAGCTGAAAGTGGCGTCGAATAGACGTAATACCTTTTCTTGTAAAAGGTATTTTATCCGTTTTTTTTTTTGTTCTACGTCAGAATTTTTTTTTTTTATATATTTTTTTAACTTTGTTCCCTTAGTTTTATTCCAGCGCATTGAAGACTATTAAAAATAATCATAACGTCACCTTGAATTTTAAATTATATTCTTAAGTGAAACCCTAATGATGTCCAAACAGCTTTTTTGAACCATCAATCTTTATGCTATAAATAATTAAGCATTGGCATTTAACGCTTAATTAAGCGTATAAAGATTTGCGGTGAAATATGATTTTTAGAACCATTTATTTGATATTCTTTTTACGCAAGTGTTACTAATAGAGCGACGCTTTTAAACTTTTCGGCTTGGTTCGGAGTGCATAAGAATGCTACTAAAATGCTGTGAATGCAAAGTACTATGAATAAAAATCTACTAAACAAGATCTTTTTTCATACTTTTATTAAAAAAATATCAAATACTTACTCCGAATAGGTATTTGTTGCGTGTGTTTCTCATAAAATCATCCTTCAAACCAATCGGTAATGCTTTTATGCATCAAAAACATACTCAAAATCTTTCGGAGTAATTCGGAGTACTTAGAAATGTTGAAAACATGCAGTGAATGCAAAATTCTATAAATATAAGTCTAGAAAATAACAAATTTTCGCGTACTTTTATTTTAAAATATATAAGTACGTACTCCGAAAAAGTCCAAAGAATTCAAATTTTGTTATAGAGTACCCTGCATTGCATCTCAAAAGCATGAAAAATGCCTCTCAAAATTTTTGGGGCATTCGGAGTTCTTAAGAATGATTTTAAAAAATTTCGTAGTAATTTGGAATAGCTAAAAATTTTACCAGAGTTCTTTGGACGGAAAATACTATGCACGCAAAGTTACAAAACAGCAATTTTTAGCATTCTCTCTTGCTCTAAAGTGATAAATTATTATGGGCGAAAACTTTTTTCAATGCAAAGAGTGCAAATCTTCCTTATTACGCCAATTTAAATTTTGTTTTTAAAACTGTAGTAGCTTTTAATTTTTTGGAAAAAAATCGGAACTAAATAAATCTCAAATTAGCAGCCAATTTTACGAAAGCAATTTAAGTGAAAAATTATTTTAATTTCTTGTATTTTGTATGGAAATTGACAGAAAATAAAAAATCATTTTCATTTAAATTGCGGGTGAGACCGGTTATAAGACTACTTTTTAGCAGTTCAAAAAACTTACTCCGAAATATAATACAATAAAGAAATTGCTAATATATTGCAGCTCTATTTAAATTCTATAGAATCATAGGTTAAATTATTCGCAGTGGAACGTTGTTTGAGTGATTTGAATTGCTTCTAATAAATTTTAAAGCGAAAAATTCGGCTAAGTAAATGTGTTATTTAAAAATAAACTTTTCTAAAACTCATCTATTTATTTTATTTGAATGCAAAACTTTAAATAAAATTCGGATGTACAAATGCCCGTAGTTTAGAAATTTAGTTCATAAAATGCTCAAAAAATTATACTAGCCTGATAAAAAATATTTCGGAGTTTTTCGGAAATGTTCGGAGTTATTAAATTATTACGAAAACTGTTTAGAACGGTGAAAATTATATTAAAATATTTTTCATACATTATGAAAAAATGATTTCAATTTTTTCGGAGTTGTTCACACGTAGCACAGAAGTAAGTAATTAACGTGTATTTAGGTATTAGACAGATTTATATATATTTTGAACGTTGTAGGAAGTGATTTTGAAGTTTTCGGAGTTTTTAGGAGTACTTAAAAACTACGAAAATTATTTAGCTTAGTTACTCAATTTGTAGCAAATAACAAATAATGACCATTGCCTTTATTCCTTGGAAATAATCCCAGCTAATCAACAACATAGCCACAGCAAACGCAACTGCCGCCAAATTTGTGGGTTAAACTGAAGTTTGGCCACAAAACGACTTTAAAAGTAATTTTCGGTTTGCCAAGAAGAAAAGTTAAAAGTTATACTTTAATACGTTTCAAAATGGGTTTCTCTTAACTAATAATATAGCAACAACAAAAATACGAAAACAACCAGTACGTTGATGAAAGGTTGAAGGTGGAAAAGTTAACAACAAAATGAATTTTCCAACAACAAAATAAAAACTGCAATCGTAATAAAGTTGTTTAACAGTTAAAACTGTAATTCGCTTGGGAATCATTTCGCAGTGAAATTAAAATGGGAAGGCATAGGGGGTTGAAAATCAAAAGCTGTATTCTTAATAAAATTTTCGACAGCACTTTGGGCAAAGTGAAAGAAGGAATAGGGTGAAAGGAAAGAAGGAATAGGAAGGGTGCGAAAATGAGGTGAAGGTAACATGAAAGAAGCCAGTAAGCAAAAGTCCCAGGTGTTAATGAAAGCCAATGTCTACTTATCACAAGAAGGGTGGAAAGGAAGGCACAGCTTATTATTTTTTTTTTTTAGTTAGACTGCGCGTAGGCCACTGAAGTGCCCATAAGAAAAAAAATTACATTTTACAATCGTACACAAAAAGAAAAGTTGCGCATATTGCTGCCCACTACAAGTAAAATAATAAGAAAATTTTATTATCATAAGGAAAATTATTAATAAAAAACGAAATGAAGATGCCAGTGAAATGTTGAGTGCGATTTCGTGAATGTAATAAGACGCCAAAAAGGATTTGCTGAACAACAACAAAAAAAACTCAATGCACACAGTAAAGGTGCGAAATTCAAGCAGCAAAGAAAGTAAAAACACAAAATGAGAAAGTAAGCTTCGCTGGTCGTACGCACAGTTGGTTAAGCTGGAATCAGCTAGAATGCTTGTAGAGGATTTAAAATCGCACTGAAATGCAAATTAGTTTAAAGACTAGCTACCAAGTAAGTGGCACTACAGAGTACATGGATAAGCCAAGGGGAAGGGGAAGGGAGGGGGATGCGTCGGATTACCGCAAGCTGTTTTCATTACAAGTTTAATCTTTCTCGCACTCACATTTCGCACACAATCAGTGTAGGATTGTTTAAGATTTGGTGTTGAAATTTGTTAATCAACAGGCAGCAAGGTGGGAAATAAGATTTCGGAGTGCGAATAAATATGTCTGTGTATGATTAGAATTTCACAAAATTCATTGCAGTAGCTCACTCGAAGGTTATGGAGAATGAGTGCGTTGAAGAAAAGTACATGCACCTAAACAAATACTAATTAAAGATTTTCTTAGACAAAGAGCATATTGCCAACTTGATTTTATTTTATTTATTTTATTTTTTG